CCCCAAAACCCCAAAACCCCAAAACCCCTTGTAACTTTTTGATGGGAAAATTAATTGTTGCTTATACAATAATAACAAAAATTAATAAAAGTATTGGTCTAACTATTGAGAGTTAAATTCATAGTATAAGAGATTCCATTATTGTGATTATTATAATTTTAAAGATAAAATGAGCAGAATATCTGGACAAGCATTTGCTTAGTCATATGTTGAGCTACACAAAGTTAGGAGTGTGCAGTTTGGTCTGCTGAATCCAGACGAGATTCACAAGATGTCTGTTGTAAGCATCACAAACGAGAGAATCTATGACGACAGAGGAGCGCCCAACTTCAATGCCATTAACGATACAAGAATGGGAACTATGGACAAGGAACTCAAATGCTAGACTTGCAAAGGAAGTAAGATTATTACTTGAATTTATCAATATTAGCATAAGTTGATTGTCCGGGTCATTTCGGGCATATTGAACTTGCCAGGCCAGTTTATCATGCTGGATTGCTTGAGTTTATCAGAAAAGTCCTCAGATGTTGTTGTTTCTATTGCTCAAGGTTGTTGGCGGACAAAAACAAACTCGAAGAAATTAAGAGACTCAAGAGTTCAAGCGCCAAACTTGCAAGAGTTTTAAAGCTCAGTGATGGAGTCAAAGAATGTGACCCTCAGCAGAACGGTTGCGGACACAGACAACCCAAATTCCAAAAGACCGGATTAAGAATCTAAGTCGAGTACTTTGATGAGCAGTATGATCCCGGCAAAGATAGAAAACAAATTTTGCAAGCAGATGAAGCACTCAGAGTCCTTGAGAGAATCACAGATGAAGATTGCGAGTTAATGGGTTTCAACCCTAGAATATCTAGACCTGAAAATATGATAATCAAAAACTTAGCAGTTGCTCCTCCTCCAGTTAGACCTTCAGTATCAATGAGTAACACAATGAGAAGTGAAGATGACTTGACGTATTGCTACTAAAAGATTCTCCAGACTAATATTACCCTCCAGAATCAAATTAACAGAGGAGCCAATATGACAACTATCAACGAGTTGAGAACCAATCTTCAGTACTATGTGGCAACTGTAATGGACAACGAAATTTAAGGACAGCCAACACAAAAGCATAAATCTGGAAAGCCTCTCAAAGCAATTAGAGCCAGACTTAGAGGTAAAGAGGGACGTCTTAGAGGAAATCTAATGGGTAAAAGAGTCGATTTTTCAGCTAGAACTGTCATCACTCCAGATCCAAATCTCTAACTCGATTAGCTTGGAGTCCCTCAATAGATTGCTTTGAACCTGACAGTTCCCGAGACAGTCACCAATGAAAATATCGACGAAATGAGAAAACTCATTGAAAGAGGTCCAAATATCTGGCCCGGCGCTAAGTACATTATCAGGCATGATGACAGACAGATAGATCTGTCTTAAATGAGAAACAGATCTGAAGCTACCATTCATCCAGGCTTTAAAGTTGAGAGACATCTCAGAGATAACGATTATGTTATCTTTAACAGACAGCCATCTCTACATAAAATGTCTTTGATGGGTCATAGAGTCAAAGTGCTACCATTCTCTACTTTCAGACTTAATCTAAGTGTAACTACTCCTTACAATGCTGACTTTGATGGTGATGAAATGAATATGCATGTACCGTAGAGTTATGAAACAATGGCTGAGATCAAAGAAATTATGGCTGTACCAAATCAAATTGTCTCCCCTCAGTCAAACAAGCCCGTTATGGGTATTGTGCAAGATTCCCTTCTTGGAGTCATGCTTTTCACACTTAAAGATACCTTCATTGAGAAAGAACTTGTGATGCAATTGCTTATGTGGGCTAAATACGAGGATGATAAATTCCCTATGCCAACAATTCTTAAACCAAGACCACTTTGGACAGGAAAACAAATTTTCTCATTAATTATTCCTGACATAAATCTGCAAAAGGTCGGCGAGAAAAAGGGTCTAATTTGGGACAGTGCTGGTGATCTCAACATTTTAATAAGAAAGGGAGAACTAATCTGTGGTAATTTGACAAAGGGAACTATTGGTTCCTCATCTGGCGGTATGATTCATATCATTTGGAAGGAAAAAGGGCCATATTGTTGCAGAGATTTCCTGTCAAATACTCAATTGATCATCAATAACTGGCTGCATTAAAATGGTTTCACAGTAGGAGTTTAGGATATCATTGCTAAGAAAGAAATCGTCTAAAAAATCAGAGACAGTATGACTAAGTTCAAAAGAGATGTGACCAAGATTTAACAAAAGGCTCAACTCGGTAAACTCAAGTCTCAGCCAGGTAAGAGCATGATGGAGAGTTTCGAAGCATCTGTCAATCAGTGTCTAAACAAAGCCAGAGATGATTGCGGTAACATGGCCTTGGCTGATTTGAGTTCATGGAACAGACTAAAGGCTATGGTGTATGCCGGTTCAAAAGGTTCTAACTTGAATATCTCACAAATTATGGCTTGCGTCGGCCAACAAAATGTGGAAGGTAAACGTATTCCTTTTGGTTTCTACAAAAGAAGTTTACCTCATTTCTCAAAAGATGATTTCGGCCCAGAGAGTAAAGGATTCGTTGAAAATTGCTATTTGAACGGTTTAACTCCTTAAGAATTCTTCTTCCATGCTATGGGAGGTAGAGAGGGACTTATCGATACTGCAGTCAAGACTGCCGAAACTGGCTATATTTAAAGACGTCTCATAAAGGCTCTTGAAGATGTGATGGTCAAGTATGATGGTACAGTCAGAACCTCTAAAGAACAAATCATCTAATTCCTTTATGGAGAAGACGGTATGGCTGGTGAGCATATTGAAGATCTCACTATCAATCTCCTCAAGATGAAAAATACCGATGTTCAAAATAAGTGCAAGTTCCTTCACAAACCCAAGCCAAACATGAGTGACAATGAACTAGAGCAGCACCTTAGCAAGTTTATGGATAGAGAGTATGCTGAGAGAATTATAAGAGACCCAGAGATCTGCCTGCAACTGGAAAATGAGTACAAGCAAATTATCCAAGATAGAGATGATCTTAGATTCACCATCTTAAAATCTTAAGAGGATGCTGTCCATTTGGCAGTCAATGTCCCAAGAATCATTTGGAACGCAAAGGAGCAATTTTCAATCAGACCAAACCAGAAGTCTAATCTTGAACCAACTTATGTTCTCAGTAGACTCTAAAACTTAATGGATGATCTAGCTCCAATTCCAGGTGTTATGATACACAAAGATCCATTGATTCTCGAAGCCAATAGTGATTCTACCTGGCTTTTCAAAATATATCTGAGATCACTACTAAATACAAAAGCTGTAATTCAGCAAGAGAGACTAAGCAAAGATGCATTTAACTGGATTCTCGGAGAAATCAAGTCAAGATTCGACTAAGCTCTCGTAAACCCAGGTGAAATGGTAGGAAGTATCGGAGCATAAAGTATGGGAGAACCAGCCACTCAGATGACCCTAAACACTTTCCATTTTGCTGGAGTCTCAGCTAAGAATGTGACGCTCGGTGTGCCTAGATTGAAGGAAATCATCAATGTTGCTAAGAACATCAAGACCCCATCAATGAAAATTTTCCTTAAAGATAAGGATAAGCAAGATGAAAGAATCGCGACAATTATTGGAGGAAGAATCGAGCATACTACTCTCTGTCATGTTGTCAAAAGCTCAGCTATCTACTACGATCCAGATCCTGAAAGAACTATCGTTAGAGAGGACGAAGAGTTGATAAGATTGTACAATGAAGTGAGATTGTTTGAAACTGAGAGAAGAAGAACATCTCCATGGGTCCTCAGATTTGAACTCGACAATGATAAAGTGCAATTCAAGGATCTCTCTATGCAGCTAATTGAACAAAAGATTAATGATATCTTCAGAGACTAGATTGATGTGGTTAAGTCAGATGAAAATGCTGAGAAACTTGTTTTAAGATTGAGAGTAAATGACATTGAAGATGATGAAGAGGATAGAACTGTCTGCATGTACTTAAAAGGTTTCCAGGATGAGCTATTCAATGATTTAGCTTTGAAAGGTCTTCATGAAATCTCTAAGGTTACCTTCACAAAGTACAATGATGAGATCTTTGACGCAGACACTGGAGAATGTAAATAGGACAAAGAATGCTGGTTGATTGAAACTGATGGTGTCGCACTTTAAAAGGTACTAGGTCTTGAAGGCATAAACTATAAGAAAACTGTATCAAATGATATCATTGAAATTTTGAGGGTACTTGGAATTGAGGCTGTTCGTATGTCATTAATTAATGAACTCCGTTTTGTGCTATCATCTTATGGTATTTATGTCAACTATCGCCATTTATCTACACTTTGCGATGTAATGACACAAAGGGGTATTCTAACTGCTATCACTAGACATGGAATAAACAGAGTGGACTCAGGTCCATTAAGAAAGTGCTCTTTTGAAGAAACTGTGGAAATATTGCTTGAAGCAGCAGTATTTGCAGAGACTGATCCTCTGAAGGGTATTACTGAAAATATTATTATGGGTCAGTTGGCACCATTTGGTACTGGGTGCTTTGAGATTACGATTGATCCTCAAGTACTTCAAGAAAATGCTCAAATTAAACCAGAGGAAGAAGACTACATTGGAGGATTTACCCCTATTTAAGACGAAATGTCAAATGGAAATGGTCTTGAAATGTACGGAATAAACACCCCACTGGTTATGAATACTCCTCATAATGACTATGGTGGTGCATCAACTCATTCAATGTGGACACCTGGTAACTAAGGGTCATTCTCCCCATCACCAGGAGTTTATTCTCCAGGATATGCATAGTCACCTGGCTACATGAGCCCTGGTCAGCAGTTTATGAGTTCTCCCAATTACAGAGCAGTTTAATCTCCTATTTACAATGCCATTCAATCTCCAATCTATCATGCCACTGAAGGTGGTCCAGGAAGATCTCCAGGGGGTAATTAAGCAAGTCCAATTTACTCTCCAACAACTTAGAACAATAGAATGAGTCCAAGTTACTACAATAGTGTGAGTCCAGGTTACTACAGGACTCCAGGTGCAAGTTCTAGCCCTGTGTATTCATAAACTCTAGGTAGCCATTAAAGTCCTAGCTACAGTCCAACTCAGAACCAAGGCTCAGGCAGCTATTCTCCAACAAATCAGAGTAAAATTCTTATATTAACATTAACTTTTAGATTACTCTAGTAGTCCACACTATTCCCCAACTACGCCTGCCTATAATCAGCATTACAGTCCATCTTACTCTCCAACTTCTAATGTAGTCGGATCTGGGTTGAATCAAACACCAAGATATTAGATTAACCAATCATCTCGCTATGCTATGGACTCTGCTCATTAATCTGGATCACCATCTGGAAACACTGCTTCTGGTTTGTATGTCCCAACCTCACCAGCTTACAACCCCACTACTAGCCCTGGCTACAATATGAGTAGTAGATAGAACAACCCAACCTATGGCGGAGGAAGTCCAATTTAAGATGATGAAAGCTCCGATAAAAATAAAAAATGAACAAGTCAAAATCATCCCTCAGTGAATTATTATTGAATAAAATAATGAAGTTTGATAAGATCTTAGTCACTTAATTCAAAATCAAAATTTGGAATCTATTGCTTTTATCTTGTTTCTCGGGGTTTTGGGGTTTTGGGGTTTTGGGGTTTTGGGG